CATAGTAGGTGTGCAGTATGTGTTGATTTCTAAAAGATAACACATAGTAGGTGTGCAGTAAGTGTTAACTGCTGAAAGATGTTACCCCAAGGGTTGTCTGAGTTCTCTACTTTTAGGTACTTGTCTTATCTCCACTTAAAGACGAGGCCCAAAGAGGTTTACTGACTTGCTCATGGCCACAGGCCCTCCGTTTCCTGCAGGCTGTCTCAGTTCTCCACCTCGTCCATTAAGATCTCTGTCATAATTCCAATTCATAATTGGGCCGACCATTCCTTGAATTCTTAACAACACTTGGCCTGAATTAATCACTTTATCATCTCAGTAAGAGAGCATCCACTTAAGAACCATTTACTGTCTGCCAAACACTGTGCTGAGGGCTTTAATCCTTCAGTTCAGTTCCTCTTCCCAACGTCCCTTTGCGGGAGAGACGTTTACTATTTCCACGTTACAAAGGAGGAAACTGGGGCTTCCAGGGTGGCCCAGCTGGTAAGCACTGGAGCCAGGCTTTGAACCCCAGGTGTCGCATCCCGTTGTGCTGCTTCGGCTGGACTGTGTTAGGCTCAGTTCTCCACTGCGAGGCAGGCGCCTTCAGGTGCAGGGGGGGTGGCTTAGGTATTTGTTTATTTGTATGTCGTTGCATTTCTTTTTTTGATCTCCTCTCCACTTCTGATGGCCTGGAATCATGCCTTTTACGTGGCTGACTTTTTCGATAAAGGCTTGTCGACTGACTGAATTGTCACCGCGGCACTGTCAGGCCTCAGGCTGCCACTAGGTGGTGCTCCATCCCAGAGAGTGGACGGCGGCTGGGACCAGTTCGGCTGGCAAGCGGCAGGCTTCCCGCAGCTCCTGACAGTGGGAAAGGAGCACCGTCCATTCAGAAGTGGGAGGGCCCGGGGCAGGTGAGGAGGGGACGCCACACCCCCTGAGAAGAGAGGAGAGAGAATCCATCACCCTAGCTGGTGCCTGATGCTGCAGGCAGCCAGAAGAAGGGGTTGACCAGAGAGCGGAGTGGAAACATGCCAGGACCACAGGCTACCAGACAAGCAGAATATAGGGCTCTTAGTAGGAAGGGCCTGGCCTTCCCCCTGCTCAAGACCACGGAATGCAAATGGCCCGATCAACTTCTGAATTCCAGTACCATCCAGACGTGTGTCTTCCCGTCTTCCAGTTGAATTTTCAGGCTGCATCTGAGCTTCGGGTCCGAGGAGAGAAACATGCAGTGATTGCTTCCTGACCCCGGCCATCTGGCCCCTGCTGCCTGTCTCACCTCCTCTTCCCCTCTCTCCACACACACTCTCCTCTCTGGCCCAGTCACATTTTGGTGGAGAAACACAGTCAGTGCCCAGGACTGGGATGGCAGAGCTCAGATGTGGCGGGTCCCTGTGGGCTACCCTGGTCAGGGAGGGCTTCCTGGAGGAGGAAGGTCCCAGAGGGCAGGTAGGGTCTGATTCTGTGGAGCTGAGTGCCAGACCCTGGAGCTTGGATGGTTTAGTTTAGCAAGAAGAGTCTAGGATGTCAGGAGACCTGAGCATGACCACAGATGAGCTGCGGACAGCCACTGCATCTCACCTGTCCCCTCTTCTGCAGGTGACCATACAGTGTACTGCCCCCAGCAGGATGGTCTTATGAGTAAAGGGGAGTACTATTCACAATCACCCTGGGACAACAGTGGGAACCTGGGACAGCTGTCTGGGCTAACCAGGACCTGTGGGCAGCCAGCGTATCTGAAAATGTTTCCTTCTAAGGACCATCTAACTCTGAAGTCCTTTGATTTTGGGTTCTAAGGGAAGCATGAGGCTGGGAGACAGAAATGAGGCCATATGTCCTGGTTCTATTACATTTTGAGATGCATAGAAGCTTTGGGTGGAGCTCACTCATTGCTCCCTGGATCCGATCAATCAATCCACCCATCAACCCCTGGATTATACAGATTCAGTAAATCTGTGGGAAGCACCCCCAGTCCTCATCCTCAGAGAGTTACACAGACACACCTGGTCTTCAGCGGAGAGGTGAGACTCCCTCTGCCTGGCGGAGACTCTCTCATGCAGTGGCTGGACCCATCCCTCCTTCCCTAATCCTATCCGGGCTCTGTCCCTGAGGAGCCCTGCCCTGTCCACATTGTTCTCCCTTGGGCCTCTGGTACCCGGTGTGCGCCTCCCCTGGGAGGATCTCTTGGAGGCAATTGGGAAAGCCCCCTCTTCTGTCTGGCCCTGCCTTGCCCACCCTCCCTCATCCCACCCCAGCTTCTCCATCCTAACAATCGCATGACAAATTATCTCGCAGCTAAGTTAAATTGGCTGCTGCATCAAATGTGTGGATTATAGGGTAAGGCAAGTACATAGCTCATTAATTCAAACCCATCCCCTCCCCCAGGCCTCATTCTTCCTCCCTCCCCCTCCATTTATTTCTGGAGAAGGGACTCAGTCAGAGAACTGCTGCCTCTACCTTTCAAGGATTTCTTGGGTGAGAGAGAGACTTGAGGGTGGAAGACAGTGTGCCTTGGACACTCAAGAGTCAGGACATGAAACCTGCAGTCCTCATACCACCTGGGAGCCACCAGCAGAGGGCGCCATGGCAGAGTGCAGCCCCTTTCAGCAGGGGCATGCGAGTTGGTAGGACTCCTGGGGGAGGGAAAGGAGGCTGGGGGGAGGGTGCTTCCACCCCAGGCCCTTCCTTATGGAAGGAGAGGCAGATCTCTTCCTGGAGACCCCTTCTGGAGCAGGGGAGAGAAATCCTTGCCAGGAACCAGGGTCTCACGCCTTGAGCCCTGGAAACCTTGCTCGGCAGCGAGTGCCGTGTGTGGAAGGAAGGGCGGTCCTCTCCTTCCAGCAATGCTGGGTGACCTCACTTTGACCTGATGGTGGGGATTCTGGTTTCAGCCAAAGTGCAGGGTTGGCATCGCCAAGGGGTGGAGGCTGGGGGAGGAGATTCAGGGAGCCCTGTTCAAAGACTCAAGAGAGGAATCTGGTTGGCTGAGAAGATAATGTCCTCCTCCATTCAAGGGCCCACCTGTGGCCATGACAGGAGGGGCTGGGGGAGCCACCCTTTCAGAGGGCCATGAAGAATTCATCAGGCTTTTGTGTCCGCCTGCCTGTGAGCTCCGAGAGGAGACAATGGTGGGGCTGGGGCCCTTTGTCTCCGTCCCCACAGAGGCAGTGTCAAATGCTGGCCACATGTGGGTGGGGAACCCGCCTCTCTTGGGAGCGGAACAGTCCCGTAATCTGAGGAGAAGCACCAAATTCAGAGCTAATTAGTTGGAAATTAAATTTTCCATTTGGCTAGGCCAGGAATTACTGGGGTGGGCACCTAAAGTCAGGAGGGACCACTGGGAAGAGGGATGATGTCAACTGTGTCCTTGAGCCTCACCTGGGGAAGAAAAGAAGGAGTGTCCCACAGGCACTGTCAGAAAATCAGCCAATAACCAGCCGAACAAACCCTCCACCAACAAAACAATGGTCATTGTACATTGCATGCTCTCCTAGTGAGGGGGTAAGACAACTGCCTGGCTTAAGGTGGGGACAAAGGGTGCTTACAGAGACATCGAGAAAGCCCATCATTCTACAAATCGTTTCTAGTACCTACTATGTGCCTCATACTGCATCA